AATACCTATACACTAATTTATGAATAAGTTACTGCCCATATTTCTCTGAGGAAATTAGTGAACGTTTATTCCACATATTGATTACATCGCCTGTCATAATTTGGTTTATGCACTAGCGGGCCGTAAAGTGCACTTTACCGCCCGGTTATGCGGGCGTTCAGTCGCACTTTACCGCCCGCGGACTCATTATGGCCCACGGGCCGTAAAGTGCACTTCACCGCCCGCTGTTCTCAGTCACCTTATATCGACATATAATTCATGAGAAACCTATGATCATATTCCTAGATTCTAATATATCCAGCGGTATATCATAAACTTCTTCTTTATCCGATTTCATAGTCTCGCTATTATTATTATCACTAATTTTACTTTTCAGTCAGAGAATGACAATTCAGCTCGTTTATTGGATGGATTGCTATTGACAACAACCATCAGATTGATTGACAACGTCAAAATTTAATAAGTTAGGATTATATACGGGGTATGTATATTGTAAAACTCTGAAGAATGAATCTCTTCTAGAGCTGAAAGAGTTTTACTATTACGATAATTGCAATATTCGTACGATAATTTTCTTATGTAAATCATCCATGAACATCACGCTTCTCTTGATTACTGAATTAATACGTAACAAATTAAATTCTGGGGAATATTAGTTTGTCGAAATCTATAGTCATTACTTATGAGTCAGAAAATAAACCACTAGTGCATAAAATTGTGTATGTATCTCGTGCGTGAAATGCGTTTATGGCCTTCAGCGTGTAATGGCCCTCGGCTAGCGCCATCGGGCCATTATTCACGCCACAGGCCATAAACGCCTACTTTACGCCCTTGATACATAAATAACTATAATTTCAAACTCCAAAATAACCTAGTCTTTGTTGTTTTGATTCATTGTCCTATCCGATATATATATTTTCATCATCATTTCATTTCGAAGTTTCATAGTTTCATTCATTGTGACAATGTCAAAACATGAACAAAAATCGAACGGCGTGTTGAATAAGACGAATAAATGTTCATTGTTTTCAGTCAGTCTTTTTGCTTTACGTTGATGCGTTATTCAATCTATAAATCAGGGGTCACAACTGTCACAAGTCACAATTATCAGTAAAAAGATCTGACTAAAGACTTTGATCAAAATAGTAAGGAAATGAAAATTTTGATAACGCACTTGAATATAGTCAGTCCATAAGCTATGCATTCTTGAATTGCAATCAGGGCAAGTTCGTGGACTGTAGATGAGAACAGAATACATTGCAAACTTTTTGCTCATTTCGTTGAATATCCGAGAAATAACCTCTAAAAAAACAATTTAACTTCACCCCAATTTGGCTTTCCATTTGTAATCCCGAAAACCGATGCATAAACAGAAGAGTCGGACAAAAAGAAAATGTTTCAACGGTCCGAAGTTTATTTTTAAATTAAATCCCATCAGACGGAAGCCGCTCTTTGGGGAAGAGTGATGAGAAATTGTGAAATGAAAAGGGTTAGACAAACAGTTTATTTTATGGGAGATTAACTTATATAATCTGTTGACAGTTACCCAGAGTTTCCCGTAACCGTGTTGGCTTTCCGCCGCATAATTTCCCGCCTTTTTGGACATGCGTCGACCCAAGGAAGTTTCCTTTCACGAGTTCTCCTTCGTTTTCTTGTATATTCTAACGTTGAAGTCACCAGGATAATTTTAAGATATAGAGTTTGTTTCCACGAATTTGGGGATTATGATTATATAAACTGTGAAAATCAGCAACGAGTAGAGTGAAGAGTTCATTGAGAATTTCAGAGTAACCTTTCAGAATGATCACAGTCTCGACGAATCATTTCTACTCTACAGTGCTTTCATTGGAAAGCACTACATAGGTAAATTATTCGGTCGCGCTCGGGGCTAGCAGCTACGTTGGCGTTGGAGGAGGGGCTAGCTGCTGGATAGCAGTGGAAAATGACGTGCCTTCTCTCTTCCATCAAATAATGATGTTCAACGAGTTATGTCTTATGTAGGGACTAAACGTGACAGCCCGGTGTATGTCCACTATAGAAATCTGAAAAAATGATTTCCTCCACTTAGATTAGTGTTCAAATCTATGGTGAGACTGTAAAGTTTTTTTTTCAGAAGTGATCAAAATCCTCAATAGATACCACGAAAGACCATTCCCTTCATGATAGTGTTGGAGTCTTTATAATTGTAGGGTGTACCCGTCTGACCATAGCCTCCGATGACACATAGGCCTATTGGCCCATTGTACCATCGTTCCTGCAATATGCCGTTATCGATTTTACCATATACGATCTACGGTTCTTATATAAGGGTTCCTTCAGATACCGTCATATAAGAAGTAAATATGAGCACTGCTGCTTACAGTACCAGAGGTTCCTTTGAAAGACCAATTTCGTTCAGGTTCCTGAAGACTCTTCCGAGCCCTGATCTCTTCGATGGAGAGGCCAATAGTTGTCCTTCTTCTACTAGTAATGTGGTAAGGGGATTGTCAAGCCCTGAGGTGTCTCCTGCACTGATGGGCTGTCTACGTTGAGATGTCGCCCTGTTCCTCAGAGGTCCCGTTATCAACACCATTAGATAACCTAAGGTGCCATTCATCCCTCGTCACGGGTACCCACAATTTGAATCAGGTTGCCAGAGTTTCGTTTATCAATCTGCTTCCACATGAGATGTTCACAAATTGGCCCTTCTTTGCACACAGATGTCCACATAACTGTCACATCTGAGTGACCGGAACAAAATGCTTCATCTACCGAGCAGCCGTGGCTTGTACTTCCGCACCTTGGTGAGGACGGACTTTAAGGGAGAAAAAAAAAAGAATTGACCAAGAGAGGCCGATAAAAGGGACTGAAAACTGGAGAGTGAACATGATACCATTAAAGACAAGTTTAAGATCAATGAGTATCCGGCTAGAATACCTCGAGTTCAACATTTCGTATTCACAAGTCGTGAAGCCCTGAGGTATAGTATAGAGTCAGATAGCAGTGTTAAAAATCATTTAGATATTAAGAGTTTGAAAATTCACACTTCGAGTGTACAACGTCACAGTCGATACGTGAAATGTACCCTGAATAGAGTATGATGAAATTGGAACATAATATATTATATTGGAATCTTGTAGAGCTTGGCGTATGGCAGTGAGAACGACTAGACTGGCTAGAGCGAAGTGCTCATCAGTTTTCAGGAGAAATTCTATGTTTAGTTAGTTATAATGGTTCACTCTTTAACTCCTATATGATTTCAATAATGAAATCTAGAGTGAAAATCAATTGGAATCATAATATGTATTCAGTGTACTCATTTCAATTGAATACCTATATTTCAGATCAACACAAAATTGAGTAATACAATTCAAAACAATTATTGACCAGATCATTATACTAGAAATTATTCATAGTGGATTCATATATATAGTTCTCTAAAAATATATTGAACTTACAGTTATTTTGTGAATTTTATTCATTGTTCAACTGTGTATCAGAGCATGTGCCGAGGTTGAACTATTGGGTTAATTTCCTTATCCTATTAGAAAAATTTTAGTCTACAAAAGCCTATATTGTTCTTCAATTATCTCTTGACTGCTTTGATTCTAAAAGTGCATTGCATCATAGATGTTCAATCTATGATTGTATGCCTGATTTTTTCATGATAGATGGGGATCTCATTAATGCAATAATAAGAACCGAAGTGAAAATTTGAAGAAACTAGTTTATTTATGAATTGCGCTCTCCCATTGCAAACATGGGTGAATCAGATTATCCTAGTGATTTCTATCACTGATATAGTCATGCATCAATGGTTTTCGATAATTTAATTTTCAAGCATATCATCATTTTGAGAACCATGAATTCGTTCATTTTCAATCTCGGAATTTGTCGAACAACACTCTACCAAAACTCGTTCGTCTATAGGACGACAAAGTAATGGAATTCTCTGCCTATGGAAGTATTCCCAAGAAATTAAACTCCAGAAGTGAAAAAAATTCATCACCCACATTCTCTCGCTATTCTTCCTAGGTGCGCACGACGTTCTTCGAGCATCATAGGAATTTCCTTTCGTGCGCTGCAAGAGATCGAAGATCGAATCGAAAAGTCAGTCAACAGTTGGAAACCATCTGAAGCATGCGCAGTGACACAAAATTGAATGATACAATTTTTTCAGGACTTTTTTGTATTCCACGGATTTTGTGTTTTTGTTTTATAAGTACTACTACTAGAAAATGATACCAACCATAACTCAGATTCGTACCCCATTAGTCTGTGTGCGGAATTATATAAAAACCGATCAAGTGGCACAAAAGTCGAAATAATAAAAAGAGGTTGTGCCCAAATCTGTTGAACCATATACTTATCTCCGCCATTAAATAATACTCAACAAAGGTTTCTAATGAAAAACTACTTCCTACTGTTGTTTTATCATTCATAAGATTCATTGATGTCTAAATTGGACAACCTAGTATCATTAATTAAAGGTTAACAGCCGAGCCCAAGCATCTGCTTTCGGCGAATTCGCAAACACACAAAACAAACATTCAATAATAGGTATAAGAGAGGAGAGGTGAATGGTGGGTATGGAAAGGTATGATTTTTTCTTAATAAAAAAACTTTGATGAGTCATATTTTCAGTTCGATAACGATCTGGGATTGTAGAGGTTCCTAATAAACGCGTCAATAATCCCATCGTCAGACTGACAATATGTGCCAAGAATTATGTAGGATATCATCATTGAAGAATTGTTCTGAAAAATCCAGCTGATGGTTGACCTAATCAATTACTTATAAACGTAATACAATAGTGAACAACGAGTTCACAAAATGTATGTCTTCAACATAACAACTCCAATGCCATACAGCTGCGGTTCATTGAAACATGTATAGATATTGAGATAGCTGAAGACTATCAGCTGGAACTTATAATATCTCTAATGAATAGTGCATTGGGTTCGCAAGTTCTAACATAGTTTCAGATACTTCATCACATTGACATGAACATTTAGACTCACCTCTACCACTTCTTCCGACAAACCTTAGATCATTAAACTTAGCTATTTGATTTTTCATAACCGCCGTACTGTTCCTCAATTCCGCACAGTAATTCTCGTCATTGCCCGCTTTCACCGTCACCACTGTGCCATCACCGATATCGCCCAATGCCACCACTTTGAAAGCCACCGGAAGGGTCTTGTTCGACCTCCAATGAGGAGGCAATACCGTACACACGAACAAAGGACTCCCCGTCCTCACCAGTTCTCCAGGATGCTCACTCAGAAAGTCATTCAAAGTCCTTTCAGCTAAGATGTCCGAGGTCATTTTAGTGTAGGAGTCTTGGATGAGGTTGGTGGTACCTTCTGGGGTCGTGGCAGTACCATTACTCGAACCCGTGGGGGTGATGTTCGTGAGGTGCATCTCTGACGATGACCAGTCACCAAACATTAACAAACATCTAATTCAGTTGAATCCAAGAAGGTATAGGATGGTTCTTTGACGATGTAGTGAATGTTGAAGAAGTTATTTCATTGTTGTTAATTTTTCTATTAATTGAAAAAAAAACCGGTTTCAATTCATCTCGACTCGTATATGTACGATTGATTGAGGTGAGAAAATCTTCTGTTGTTGAGCGAAACATATTTTTACATTTGTTTAGTTTTCGAATGTTAGTTAGCACCAGTTATTAACGATCACAATCCATTTAGGGAGTTGGAATCCACATGTCGTTGAAAAAAATGCCGCATGCCACACGCTCAGCCTGTTGCCTAGCAACACATGTCAACACTTTTTCCTGAATGGAACTTTTTTATAGGGGTGGGGAAAATCGGTATAACGCACTCACATATTAGCCGTCATTCGATCAGGTGTGGAACTTTTTGAAGGGAGCATAGAAGGGCAGTGTTCGCGGCCACTCTCGCGGACTAAGCCTACTAGTACGGGAGGCATATGTTATTAAGATTGGTGTACACCGCTACCGCTGTGTCTATTTCCCTCGCCGACATTTAAACCAAAACTAAAGATTTAGCCGGTATGTTGTTGATTAACTAACAAAAACGGCCCGGAGTATACGTCGCATCCAAAAATACCCTCGGAGAGCAGCAGTTAGAGGAAGACAAGCAGCATGAGTGTTGTCCGCTAAAGCAGCAGCTACCGCGCGTTTGATAACCCTTTACTTATCAGGGGAGCCATGTACACCCTCTGTACGGGAGAGAAAGAGAGGGGAAATAGCTAGATTAAAACAGAAGCTAACATAAAGGGGTACATGCCTGATAGAGAGCAGATAGAGTGTAAGAGAGACCCATCTTGTTTGCGGTCATAGCGGGCTGGGCCTGGCGCTGATGGAAGATAGCATCACGCGGAATATCCTGAGGAGGAAAGAGATGGAATTTCAACGCGGTTTTTCAGCCACAAACCGTTCTACGCAGGCGCCACGTATGGAGTGAGACGGGTTGTTGCGTGCTTTCGACGGAATGTCATATGTTTTGTATTTGGCAACGTGGTGGCGTGGTGCGGCTATTATCCTAACGTGATACACCGCGGAAAGGATATAGCGGTGTGAAAAGGATAAGACGAAGACGAAGGATCTGGAGGTTTATTTGTTCTGGCAAAGTTTGTTCGTTATCATTGTGTACTTATATTTTGTCAACGAATAGAGTTATAATGACTGTGTAAGCAGAGATTGAATGGTGGATACGCTTTCTCGGTTTTTGTGGAGGAAGTCGTTGAATTAATTGACGATGTGTAATGTTTGAAATATCGTATGATTGTTGAATGATATGTCATTTGGAATGAATGATAATAATTATTTTCACACGTGTTAAAATGTGACATTCTCGTTGTTTAAACTAATATTAATGCTTACTTTCATCCAATCATTTAGTGCCATACTGATGATTTGTTAGTAGCAAATTACAGCGACAATTTTCTCATGTTCGGATCTTTCATTGAAAAGGGGCCCATAGATTGCGTTGATGGTAAGCTGTTTTGTTCGACTATCAAGTCTGTTCGAACAAAAATGTGTGGCTGTGAATTTTTTGTTTTCGCAGTGCATTTTGCGGATCACATTCGTGTTGGATAATTTTTTAGATAATTTTCCTTGTTGCTTTTGGGCAATCCCACTTGTAGACTTCATCTACTCGTGAGATACTATTGCACTATAATTACCTAATTTAGTGAGGATGCTGAGAATGAGAAATATATGGATGTAGGTATTCGAGAAAATGTATAGCAGTAATATACTTTCTAAAATATAAAATATTGGGGAGTTCAGTATACCTACAAGCAAACTCGTGATATGTGAGTACATATGAACTAGCTCTCATCTCAACCAATTATCCTAGGCCCAAAGTGATCTGATTGGTATAAATATTCTATTCAGGCTTTGTTATGAACCTCATCCGTCACTGTCAATTGAAACGTAACAGTGAGTCGTTCAGGAAGATCTTTCAGCTGCAGCTTCGAAACATCACAATATTTGATTCCTTTTGATTGAATATCATAGGAATTTAAGGCGCTGGCTATGATTTCAACTCATCAGGATGGATAAAATGAATTAATCTATTGAATTTGGAATTACGTTGAGGTGAGACATTTACTTTACAGATCTGCCTCAAGACCTGCTGTCTCACCTTGATTTTCGCTAGGAAGTCGAATGATCACGGAACTGATGATTCAACCATAATTATAAAGCCTAGGATAATCCTTCACCAAACAAATAGATATGGAGGATGGGCATATACGTTTCATTTGGAATGATGTGATCAGTTTCGATCTTCTTTCTGGTATTGAGGGTAATCTAACACGCTGAAAATGCTGACAATATGGTGGCGGGTCTATAGAAGGTATTGCTACCTATATGTAGTGCACTACTGCAAACTGCACTCACTGTATGATTTGAATTCATGGTTTCTATGTGAATATCTTGTTGAAATAAAAATGTTTGAATGTTTGCCAAATGATTAATTTTGAGACCAATCAAATATATGTCATCGCAATTTTATCATTATTATTCCATTACTGAATGATTCAATACAAGTACGAACAATGAACGTAACCACACTAAAACCTATTCAACTCCATCCATAATAAAAAATCCAATGAATATACCAATGCATTTCCTGTTGATATTTTCATCACCAATGTCCATTCAAATAATGATAAACTTTGGAAAGAGGAAGAATAGGTACCTATATGGGTTTGTCCTGTTACAAGTATAACCATCATTGTATTCCGAAGAGTTTGTTCAATGAATCACTCAAAGAGACCTATCATTACCTCCTGTAATCAATTTGGCATCACTAGAATTAGCGAATTTTGTAAACAACGAAACTTCAAAACCCAACATTTGGAAACAGATACACAAAATATCCGGCAAGATCTGGGCTATCGTGGTATATCCCCCCATAAAATCGAGCAAAAAAGTGAAATTTGTGCGCAAAAGTAGAATCTTACGGTTTGTTCAATGAATCACTCAAAGAGACCTATCATTACCTCCTGTAATCAATTTGGCATCACTAGAATTAGCGAATTTTGTAAACAACGAAACTTCAAAACCCAACATTTGGAAACAGATACACAAAATATCCGGCAAGATCTGGGCTATCGTGGTATATCCCCCCATAAAATCGAGCAAAAAAGTGAAATTTGTGCGCAAAAGTAGAATCTTACGGTTTGTTCAATGAATCACTCAAAGAGACCTATCATTACCTCCTGTAATCAATTTGGCATCACTAGAAATCAGAAAACTGTATTATACTCAAATCTGATATCATATTTTTTTTCACTAATGTGTTGAATTGGTACATACATGAATATAGGTTTCATCATAACGTACAAGATAGATCTGAAAAGGTCGCAGTGTGGAGGCAGATAGCCCGAAGGCCCCATTCAAAATCTGATCTAATCTAACGTTTAAGATGAACAAATAGGAAATTTCTGAAGAAAAAGTCCAATTATGGTTGACACCGATATCGTTGCAAAAGAGTGGATTTCTATGATGAACTCAATGATGATAATACTCATTTACCTAACAAGTACGGAATAGTGATTTTTCGCACGGGACAGTTGGGTGGAAAGAACAGTCTCCGCAGAAGTTAGGAACAATGTTTCTCCCACAAGTGATCCTGTTCATATCCTTCATGAAAAAAAAAAAGGTTCATGATGAACAAGATATCATGATAATGCTTCTAAATGACACATAAGACAGAATAGTTACCTACATAGATCATTGAGTTGGTTCTCATTTTCAACAATACAAAAATCGTGTGGAAAAGTAACTCTTCAGCACTAGTGCTGTAGTTACTTTTCTGCACGAATTTATAGACAATTATACTCGAGGAGAAAACAGAAATGCAAATGCATAAAAATATCGGATAAATAACATTATCATAGCAACGCCAGCATTTACTGTTCGGTTATCAAAAATGTAGCGCCTCGCATCATCAGTTTGGCAATAGTAATGTCAGAAACAGAGATGAACAGCAAATGTTATTTCAGTGAACATGTGGAGCTTTCAAATATTGGCGATTCAGGCATAAAGGAACTTGGAAACACAATTCCAAATACTACAAAAGGAAATAATTTCTCCATTTGGAACCAATTTAGCGAATTTTGTAAACAACGAAACTTCAAAACCCAACATTTGGAAACAGATACACAAAATATCCGGCAAGATCTGGGCTATCGTGGTATATCCCCCCATAAAATCGAGCAAAAAAGTGAAATTTGTGCGCAAAAGTAGAATCTTACGGAAAAGTACAACTTTCAAAACGAAAAATAGTAAGGAAAAGTTGCTCTCAGAGTGGCAAAATGTTAATGAATGTGCATTATTTGACAAAAAACGAAGAACATCCATCCATCCATCCATCCATCCATCCATCCATCCATCCATCCATCCATCCATCCATCCATCCATCCATCCATCCATCCATCCATCCATCCATCCATCCATCCATCCATCCATCCATCCATCCATCCATCCATCCATCCATCCATCCATCCATCCATCCATCCATCCATCCATCCATCCATCCATCCATCCATCCATCCATCCATCCATCCATCCATCCATCCATCCATCCATCCATCCATCCATCCATCCATCCATCCATCCATCCATCCATCCATCCATCCATCCATCCATCCATCCATCCATCCATCCATCCATCCATCCATCCATCCATCCATCCATCCATCCATCCATCCCATCCATCCATCCATCCATCCATCCATCCATCCATCCATCCATCCATCCATCCATCCATCCATCCATCCATCCATCCATCCATCCATCCATCCATCCATCCATCCATCCATCCATCCATCCATCCATCCATCCATCCATCCATCCATCCATCCATCCATCCATCCATCCATCCATCCATCCATCCATCCATCCATCCATCCATCCATCCATCCAT